AAGCTTAACTGATATAATTCACACGCCGCATTAGAATACAAGAAGGGCATTTAGCCTTTGTCCCTCTTAAGTGTGTAAAGCAAACAATACTAAAAATCCGTGGTTCGTTGATATTAGATATATGTGTATTTCTGTGTTTTTTTTTTTTATCAAAGACTTAGTAATTGCAGAGAAGCGTGCAAATCGAACGCCTCACACAGGTTAGATGAACCTTAATTTCTTAACGTTAACGAACTGTAGCCATTTGTAATCTGGAGGTTGCTACGTATGAACGTAGATCTATTTTGTAAAGAAAGCGTACGGGTTGGTCCGCAGTTGAGCAGATTAATTTATACGATCGTCTGTAGATTTCACATAACTCAATCGCATTGTTTGTATAAAAGCCGTCTAGCTAGACTAATTCGTTTCCGATATATGTATTAAACTATCGTGTTAGCAACAGTAGAGCTTTTGGGGGTGGACATCGAGACATCCTTATAGCATAAAAACATTACTTGCAAGTTCCTTATAAGCTACTTCGTTCTGCTGAACTAAAGTTCGCCCTTGTATATAATTTTGTCTAATTTAAAAAAATCTCTTTGGGATTTTCATGTCGTATTGCTGGCCAGGCGCACAGACGCCGTTGCTGTTGTAAGAGTGAAGGAAGAGAAACGTTGCCCCTTTTACAGTGTACGCTGTCAGCAAGATTTTTCGAGAAAAAAAACCTTAAACGGTTTTGGAATAAGTTGATATAGCTTTTTTAATCAAAAAACCAAAAAATATGGTTTCTTAGTTAGGTCGAGAGCGTCATACTCTAAAACCTCACACTTCTATTTAAATGAACACGATACCAATAAGAACAACATTGAATAACACTGCGCGCAGCCAGACGTTTCGTATTTTTCGGTAAGCATCGCTTTGTATCTAACAGCAGTCGGGCTACGCAGCTGTTTCCTCCCCTTTTTATCCTTTTTTTCTAGTAACATATTATAATCTACGCTATCAAGCGCACTTTCCTGGTACAAATATATGCAGTGGATAGGTGTGACTGACTTTAAGTAGATCGCATTTCTAAAAGTTACTGAACGAATGCTGGGCAGCAAAAATTGTGTTAGGTTGGGTCGGTTGATCGGCTTTGAGTATGAGTAGCTTGAGTATGAACGGCCAGTATCCTTTCTGGTGCGTAGTCTCTTTTAACTCAGACGAGCTAGCAGATCAAAAATCGCGATTCCAGAGAAAACTGCGACCAGATCAGCTTTATTTCTCATTGGCCCATTTCTAGATGTTACGAGGGCTATCAAGCGAAAAACAGGCTCTCTATACAGAGAAAAGTTTCATTTGCAAAACAGTGAATATATATCTGCCTCGTCTCGTAAGCGACCAATATTACCTTAATATCAGGGTTTGGCCTCATCTCGTTGCAGCTTTCATTAGCTTTGTGGGACTGAACGTATGACCTGGCAGGACAAGTCAAATTTCGTTTTAATCTTAACGGTTTCGTTTTGAATTCTGCTTCTGCTACTGACAATGTAGAGTGGAAGAGGATGACCTAATCGGTTAGGGAAGCGTAACTCGCCGCAACTTATTAGACGTTTCGCTGACGTAATTATTACCAAGTGTATTTCACTTTATCACGTCAAGGAGACACTATGCAATGGCTATTCGATACGATTCTATCGAAGTAATGACTGAAAACGAAAAAGCTACTAAAGCGATCTACAGTGTCCTAAAAGGAGCATACTCTTTTAATTCAGTGTCCTGAGTTTACTTCTAGAGAGAATTCCCTAAAAACTGAAATTATTGCTAGGGTTTATACGGCGATGTTACTGCTGTCTAACGCCTGTAGTTATTGCCTTCATGCAAAGTAGCTTTCCGAAATAAGCTTTGCTAGTCTCCTATATTGAACAGAACAATTAGCGCGCAATGATTCTTTCAGGAAGCAGGACATAATAAAGATGCGCTCAATGCATACAGTAAAATTAAATCGACTGCACCGACTTGGGACAACCTAACCACGGGGTAGCCGGAAAAATCCACAATAGGCTTGCGCGTCATGCTGCCAATATGTAGCTCTTCTCTGGGGAATTCCTTGGAACTTAGAGATAGCCTCAATCTATAGAGAGCTACCTATTGAATTCGGAGGCTAAAATGTGAGATACCAATCTATATTTCTACAAGGCTCAAGCTTTAATAACAATATCCTAAATACGTGCTCTGCACCCTAATTATTATGTGCCACTATGGCCTCTTATGCATACATTTTACCTGCTATCCGTTAAAACAAACCATTTCTGCTTACTTTATTCGTCTTGCAATTGCAAAATAGGCCATGATCGGTGACCTGTAAACTGCCTGATATATTATCGAGACCCGTACGTTAGTTAACTTTCAAATATTTCATAGCTTGTTCACACAATGATATACCCGCTTTCATTTCATTTAAAAGGTTAAACATCTATTCAGGCAGGCAGACATCCATCCGCCATTGTTTCTTTTCTATTTACAGTCCTACTATTACATATTAAATAATAGAATTAAGTATATACCTATTATTTTGTGTTTTCCTACAAGTTAGAGTTATACTTGTTCTAGGATACAATAGTGCTTATTATTAACTTTCTAAGCTAGCGCCTTGCTCACAGAAGAAGCTATCGGTAAACTTATGTTATCTACGGATCTGATTGATTCGTTAACTTTTCGTCCCGTAAATTGCCGATGTTCATGTTGGGTGCATTTCATCGATGGCGGAGCGATAGCCGGTACATTGAGTAACAACGATAATAGGTTACTGTTAATACTTTTTTAATTCACTAATATATCATAAAAGATAATTTTAAAGTTTTTCTTTAAGCTAATATTATACACAATTGCATATATTATTATTATTGAATTCTAAAACAATTTATGCTCAGCATATAATTTTCTTTTACGCCTCCATTTTGTGATTGAATCCAGTTCGCCACTTACTCTTCTACTTCCATAGCCCGTTCGTTTTTATTGAACTTTGATGCTCTATGTTGTTGCTAAAGCCTGTGTACGCGTTCGCATCAATCATGATGGGTAAATACAACACGTTTGGCAACAGGGAAAGCAGCGCTCAATACTGAAGCACGCTTTATTCCCATTAGGTCCCTTCGTTAACCTGCTTTGTTACCCCTTAAAATCCTATATAGATGCCGTATCTTAGGTCACGTACATGGTAATCGTCGAGCGGAAACGACCGACGTGCCAGCAAGCTGAGTCGTATCAAATTTTCAGCTCCATTCGAATTCGCTTTTTTCCTGACAGAAACAGACCGACAGCATCTGTCACTGCAATACCGTGAATTACGTACGCAGGTGTTTTTGTCGCTCCTGCCGACGCGCCGGGCTAGGAAATGCGTGTTGGAGCCTAAACATCAGGTTTGCCCCATTCCAAGTTTCAGAATGCTACACGCTCTCCTACGAACGAACGAACTGCTCTCGCCCTTTGTGCCCGCTTTCTAGTGGGTCTTGGTCCAATTGCAGTAGGAGGCGTATCTAAATAAGCTGTTTCATTATATCTCCTCGTCGCTGTAACTATTTTTATGGGGTATAATATCTCAATTACCAACACTGCGCACCCACGGCTGTTCTCTTCACAGCTCGGCAGGCTTAGATGGAACAGGCCTGATTAGTTTGGTTGGGCGCACAAACTTCACACGAAACATTGACAGGAAGTCGTCGACTTCGAAGTTGCGCGCAGGTCCATATTTCTTTTCGAGAAACCCGAGTGTTCAAGAAATGTAGGAATGCGTCGATCGATAGTCTGTGAAGGTGGGTTGCGTCGCCGAATGAGCAACACCTTTAAAACGTTCTCGTTATGTAAACCAAATTCGATAGCTTTAAGAAAAATTTTAGGTGCCCTAAGTGCATGAAAATCAGGGTTGAAAGTAACCTGACATTAAATGTTTTTGAGCAATATAATACAGCTTTTGTTGACGCTAAAACTCTGTTCATAAGTTGAAGGCAGCGGAGAAACGTTCGCGTGAAAGTGCAGTGGTAACGCATTTGTCTTCGAATTTAGGGACTCGTGGTAACCTAGGCTTGAAACCGGACATGGACACATTTAGTTCCGTCTAGAAAGTCAGCCATCTGAAGTAACGCCTAACGCCACTCCCGAACATAATACTTAAAACATTTATTTTATTAGTAAATAAGCATTTTCGATTATTTTCTTATTGAGGTTAATTAAGTTGAAGCTGAGGAATCAATGTAATTCATACAACAGACCGCAAAAGCTCTACTCAGCTGTTAACTGTGTATTCATGTTTTTTAAATTCAGCCTTTTCAAAAGAAAAAGTGAGAAATAATCCATATATGAGCAAATTAGCCAATACAAGCTACAACGGGACGACTTGCCAACGATTCAAGAAAAATTGTTTATCATTTCACAAAAATAATTCATCTGCTGTATAGCAGCTTACTAAATCCAACTAACAAGCAGACCTTAGAGGTAATTAAACAGCCTGTGGTTGAAAGGGTACGCATAAAGCTGAAAAGTTGAATAGGTAGAGGATACGCGTGCATCCACTTCTGGCACGTCGCACTAGGACGTCTATCTAAACGAACTCGAACTTGGGTATAAGGAATATCTAATTGCTTGCCTCGTAACAGGTTTAGATAGCTCAAAGATGTTAATACTTTATTTTATAGCTGATTGTTTGTATCATATTAGCAACGGTTCGGCACAAGTGAAGTGTCCAAGTCAAAAACCTGCTGTAGACAAAGAAAAGGCTGAAGAGAATTTTCGCTAATATAAATTCTTACCTGGAGAAGCTTACCTGGATAAAACGTTTTATGTAAGGTAACTCTATTGTAAACTATATTAAAATGTTTACAAATCATTAATCAGATATACGCAGTTCAACACATCCAATATGTGCTAAGCATATTCAATATTTAGACAAATTTTGCGAATACGCTTAGTAGTGGAGTTTTTTTTTGTGTTTGCGTCTTATATTTTTTAACCAGAAATAAAGTACACAACAAAATCGTTTTTGAAACATCCCGTTTATTGGCTTGTTTACCTTCCTTCAGTAACTATTTTTTTATTCTGCCCCACTTCTGTTTTATTCTTCTTTCACTATTAAGTTATATGAAAAGTTATTGCTTAGGCCCAATAAGCGTCCAGGCTAACACCCAACCAATATCTAACTGCGACTCGGACTTTGTTGCAGATCTCACACAGTCGCATAGCCAGCTGCACAGTAACAACTCTGTAAAACATAAGTAATAGGGTTCCGTAAGATTTGGAATTCACCTCTTGATAGGGGAGATGACGACAAGAAACGAGCCTGGAGCTAGTTAGGCTTTAGTTATCGAATAAATGTCGATCAGCTTGAACGCTGATACTTTATCCTAGTATTAGGAGTTCCTCTGTTGCCGTAACGATCTTCTTCGAGATGTCAGAGGTGAAAATAAGAGGTTGGGTGCCTCGTAACCCGGTCCCGCGACACTGCAAGCATCCAGATCAGAGGAAACTTAAGCAAGCGTATTCTACCTTAAAGAATAAAAATAGACCTGAAACCAAAACAAAGAGCGCGAAACCGGACAGATGGGTAAAAATGAGATTAAAAAAATAAAACAATTAACTTAATTAATAGATCAGCAGTAAGCCACCATTGTTCTTATTGTTTATGACAAAGATAATAGAAATTACAAATTTGGGTGCGAAGTGTCTGTAACAGTTGCAGCTCTCTCAAGTGAAAGAGCAGCAACGATTACGGACTATTCTATTGCATCTTTTAAGTCATTTCTATTTTCTTGATTTTTTTGTTTTACTCATAATCAATCAATGTTAATTGTAAGAGTCTAGATTTCTTCACACCAGAGCAGTGGAATTTTCGATATTGCTTGTGTAAGTATTTACAAAAGCTCGCTCGCGTAAGAAAAACAAATAGACTTATTGAATGAAGAGTTGAGACTTGATGAAGACGGCGATAGCCCGTATGAGTGGCCGGCAATAGATGATTTACTGCTGTAACTATTATCAAGACGTCTCAGATGCTCCTCTTCTTTCGAGTGGAAATCCAGCGTTTGTTGTTGAATCAAACGAGTGATTTCCTCCAGTTTACGATCGACCCCGAAAGACGATGCGCCTTCAGATCTACCAGCACCGGCTCCGCTTCCGCAGTCCAGCGATGACTGTTCATATACACAACACAAAGCAATAGTAAGAAAGCACAAAAACATGGTATTAAGCACGGCCGACACTGCTAATGAGGTGGCCCGAACGTATTGAAGCGAGCTCGTTCAAAGCAGTGCGTCAGACAGATGATAACGTGAGCGTTTTTGTGCTTACCCATTTTATCTACGTCTTCCCATGCACATATCCATTATGGACCCAATAAACAGTGTTCAAACCTAACGTGTTCTATTTCATATGCTATGATTGTATCTGAAAATCATCTTTTTACGATGCCAATTCCTCGTTCACTAGATGGATGCACATTTTATACTACCTTACTAACCCTGAGATGGTTGTCTCTAATAAGCGACGTTCGCTGTCGTAGTGACTGTTGAAAATGCGGCCGTGAGAGCGACTGCTGCCGCTCCTTGCGCTGTGATGAATGTTCATCGTAGCGTTTTCGGGGGGGCAGAAGTTGACCATTGCCACTATCCTGCACGTGGCTACCTTTTTTATCGTTTTCGTCTTTATTCTTCGGTTCTGCCGCTAGCGAGCCACTGCTGCTGCTGCTGCTGTTGTTGTTGTTGCTATTCTCGTTAATTGATGCCGTCACTTCCATTAGATCCGCTAGGGATAACTAGGTAGGCCAGCCAAGAAAACTTTATTTCAGCACACATTTTTAAGTTATACTGAAAGTTTATCGTGTAGCGAACATCAGAGATAGCCTATTACGCACATCGTATAGTACCGTAATTAGCCGTACCGTAAGGTACAATTTCTCTAAATAGATACTTGCTTTTGAAAACGTTCAATAATAATGAGTTGTTTACATAGATTCCTACCTCCTTTTTAAGCATTCTAGGACTTAATCCTTCTTCAAGACCGTTTCCGTTGAAGTTTCGAACGAATTCAGATGCTGCTTTGAAGGTGGATATTGTAAAACTCGAAAAATCGTCCTGAAATTAGCATATACAAGATCTATATTGGATCGTATTTTCTGCGATTAGACATGCTCGATTCAGCTCCTTTGTTCTTATTTACTAATCATAACGCAACACGGGCTCTTGGCAAACATTTTTTAGGTGCATAGACTGGACGTCTCGTACAAATGTTCGCTTACAACATCTGTGTGATTTGCCGCTAATATCTAGTGGCCAATAAGATCGTTATATATGAGCGCCAGCGAAACAGAAACAGGCTTACCTTGACGCCACAGAAATGATCAATGTAGAAGATATTCGAGGCAAGATACATCGGCTTTGATCGTGCCATCACCAAAACAACAAGTAAGATTAGGATTTCATTTGTCAGAACGGGCATATCTGTTTTCAAAAAAGTGACGAGAAGCAGAAACATAATAACAAATAAATCGGTATGTAGGCAAAGGGAAGCTTACCTCGGTTTCTTGAGGTTTGAGTATTTCTTTTAAAGTTGGCTTCATTTCAACTTGATAGGTGTTTGCATTGTATTTTGGATACTGGGCTGTTTGTCAACCGTGAACTTTTACTTTAAAAATATTATCTAAATTGACAGTTGTTAGGTGAGCTTAGTAAAAAAACTAGGTTCGTCTAAGCGTATAATTTATGTGTATAAACCCCCTCGGTTGCGCCAGTACCGATACCTAATACCTATTATTTGAATATTTACGCCAGAACGTTTACCCTGAGCAAAAAATAAGATAGTAAACAAACCTTCGCCGTAGTAGATTTGAACACCCGACTGGTGGCAATGTTCCTCAACCTCCATTTGGATGGAACGCAACGTTGATCTTAGACACCACAGTTTGTCTACGGGAGTGTACTTTGCGTCAAGGGAAGCAAGTTCAACGATTGCTTGCGGAAGTTCACAGCAGAAAGCCTCTTCACGAACTCCTAACGCCTCGGCGGTGACGTGGGAGGTGCGTAAGAACTCCAGGCGTCTGTAAAGAGCGGCGCGAGTATGCACCTTATATATTCTGAAACTATAATAACATATTAATTACCGTGTGCCTATTTTCTAAATGGGAGTCAAAGCAGTACTCTGTAGAAGCACTGATTAAACAAAGAATCGAAATGCTACCTCTCAAGGTCGGCGTCCGTATTTCTACAGAAGCTTTTCACACTCCCGAATACTTTGTGATGTGCCAGGCCTGATACATAGTTATCAATGCAACTGCTCAATTGCTCTTCGTCACCTGGGATATTGCAGATTAACACCTATATTGCAGATGGGTCAATGAAAGGCATCAAGGGAACACATTTAAATCATTATTTATTTGCTGGGTTGAATAAAGGATGAATAACATTTAATAACTTTATTAATGCGCATATAAATATTGTGAAGTTTCAGTAGTTTCGACTTTTTAAATTTCTAAACTTTTTTTTTATCTGTTTAGCTATATTTTTTTTTATCTGTTTTTATCTGAAACATGGCACACTCTCTCTACGGAGCTTTCCGTATTCAATTTGCAAAACTTTCATATATGATCAAATCCTACGATAAATGGTTAAATCTAAATGATAGTGTATATTCAACACTATTTTTTTGAACACACCGTTCTCCTTGAAAGATATTCAAAATAGACCGAAAATAAGCCCATCAATGAATAAATTACCTTCCTTCATTCATCGAGGATCCATATATTATTGCTCGTCCATTCAATAATGACCTAGCTTAACCGGCTTAATATAGACGCATATCTAATGCTATATTAATCTATATCATCTGAAATAGACCCATATGAAAAACGGTCATAATATGTACTAAAAGTAAAGTACTGGTTCACTGCCGTATGTCTAGCTGCAGCCCAATGTAACGTGTTCGTAAATTATGGTAAACAGACACTAAGTGGGCGAAAAAATCAGTCTTGCCTGAATTGCTGTGTCCGAAATGCTTTTCAATTTGTCCACGGTGTCGTTGATGAAATTTGGGAGAATTAGATAATTGTTGTTAAAATGTTCAACCTTTTCGTCGATGACTTTCAATGCCTGTAAACGACAACTGTAACTTATTAAATGAACGCCAATATATAGTCTGATCCAAGCTTAATATGAAAATAGCGTTAGATGATATATTCGCGTATGCGTTAAACAATGCTCGCAAAAGTTCAAGATATGTTGAATGCTGCTCTGTTACTTAGCAGCCGTGTATGTCTGTTTGTCTCCGTGTTGAAAAAAGAAAATATCATTCTATTGTGGGAGCACACGGGCTTACGCCTCAGTGGTTGCCATGGCAGAAATGCAGCCAGATTTTTTCCTTTATATATGCGACGGAAAATTTCATCTGGATGAAGGACTGATTTTCACCGATAGACGAGGCCAGTACATTTGTAAACGCGTATTTTGCAAGCCGATCCGCCCGCCAACTGTTACGTAGAAATCTCGATGAAATAGTCTTCTAGATTTACAAAGAGACTATGCTGAGAAATCAAATATTTCAAACTTATTGTTCTGTCGGGCTAGACACCTTTTAGATTAATTACATACATAGGAGGAAGGGGAACTCTATGGAACGGTTCGGGATTTTTTCTCTTTTTATCAAACTTTTATTGAATGATAGAGAACAAACATTCGCTTTCCCATCGCAGCTTCATCTGTTCCAAAGCTACCTATCCAATGCCAAACTGAAGACAGGTTACATTTCCTAGAAACCATTACGCCGAGCTATATTAAAAGATCACTCCAAAAACAATATGGCTCACCGCGAAGTGCGGCAGAATTATTTCAACAAAACGTTATCGATTGCCTATTACATAAAGAAATTAGAAGAATTAAGTGGCCTCTGAGTAGAGCCCACTGGCAGGTATCTGTCATGCATCACTGATGTGTCGTACTGTTATGTCGGTATCGCACGCTTTTAAAGTTGTTTTTGGACGCAGGTGCAAAAAGGTTACTCCTTTTAGAGCGCCATCAATGGGAAACGGTGCAGCCGATGTAACTCAATTGATCCATCCTGTTGATCAGCGCTAAATTTTAAGCAGAGTGCCATTGTTTACGATTATTTACAATTCGCTAAGGGTGTTAATACCATGCTTCCTGAGATCCTACATGCGCGCCTATTGCTACCCATTCACTCGACCAACTTATTTAACAAAACAGTGAAACTACTATTTTCATAGCGTGTCATCAAGACTACGCAATGTTACTAACAAAATGTGCCATATATCTAAATGTGTTACGCTTCAGAATTACTTGAACGCTGAATCTGGTTGATCAGCGCTCGATACTATGCATCTGATGATCATTTAAAACAATCTCTTCTTATACACCCTATCGTCTTCAAGAGCGATCGAGATCACACGTTTCGTTGGCCCGTTCTCTAGAAGGTGCTGCAGTAAACTTGATCTTCCAAAACAGTGCGTAAACGTAAAAAAGAGCACAGTTCGAAACTGAAAAAAGCACGTGAGCCTATTGTGGAGTGAGGCTTTTTCCCATTAGGCAGGCAGCTTGTGAACACGGGATGACCAAGGTCATGTTGCCTCGCCTATAGGTACTAGAATATGTGCTTCAGTATGTCTCCATTCGCATTATGTATTTGATATATGTTAAAACACTGCATACTGGTAGCACACTTTATCCAATAAGCAAGAACAAAAGTTTAAGGCGTGGTCAATTATTTGCCGACAAACTAAACATAGACGTACCAGACAGTCGCGCGACCAGTGATGACTTTTCAGCACGGCACACCCAGCTTTCCTTGGCGGGACATTTCAAGAAGGTGTCTCTTGCACGCATAGTGTACCCGATGATAAGTGAATAAACTTTGGTTTCGAGAATCTCGAAGCATTGATGGCATCATACAATTTTAGTCCTATTTGAAATATTAACTCTTAACGTAGATGAGATGTCCCTTCCTAGGTGATGAACCCTCGAGAACAGCGCCCGAAAGAATGAAACCAGTTGCTCAAAAGACACGGAATCTTCATTACAACACCGGCCTTTGTGTCCGCAACTTAAAACAGAATGCACTTCAGGGAACATCGTACTTGATGTACCCATTGGAAGCCATGATTTTAGCAAACCCGTCCGGATAAGTTGCAAAATACTATCTTGAGCCTTTTGTCGCGACCATTTGCTATTCTCTAGAGAATCCATGTTCGCTAATCATGAGTAACCACAAGATTAGTACAAACCTAAGTACGATAAAATTAGCTTTGGTGAATGGCGTTTACGCATCTCCGCAACGTTCAAATAAGCCATTACGACCCCCTAAACTTAGCAGTATTTCTGCAATATAGAATTCGATCTCGAACAGCTCAACAAAATTTTACCCTACGATGGGTGGAAACTATAACCATTGCCTTAAAATAGTCGGATCGGCAAAAGTCTATATGACGAATCATTTACGATAGCAAATATTGCTAGAGGGTTTCAAAAGAGAGAGATGTCTTTTTGCTGGATAATAACAAATCTTCCTTCAGTGGCCTAGGCTGATAATCGACCGGGACCGTCGAGCGATCGCGAATCATTATTCCAGTAGGACAGCCGTTCGCGCTCGGAAATGGAGATCCTTTTGCGGACAATTTCATTGCTTATTTTCATTCATTATTCTCACAGAACAATCAAATTTCGTATTTCAGAATGTAGGTTCATTGGTTAGAATTGGCAAGAATTAATGACATTAAATTATGCGATCCAATTAACTGTGGTGCTTAATTGTGTATTAATATATGTTTGTTACAAAAACGCTTAAATATTTAGGAAATGTGGCCTGCGATTATAAGAGCGGTGTCCGACCACTCTAATTACCTTCCCCATACAAAATCGTTAGTGGTCCATGTAACCCCACCTCTGGACCATACAGTCCCACAAGGCAGGGTTACAGGCACCATAATTTTCGAGAAAATAACAATTTATCGCTACTTCATATTAGGCCACCGAATGGAGGGTTTCCCGACAAACACATTGGTATAATTTCGCGTTGTCCCGTGGCAGCGGTTTTTCTCAATGGTAACATTTTGTAAATGTCGGCTTATATGGCGCTATTCTTACCTATTTTATGCATATACAACGCTAAAATGGTAATATTATCAGCAGAAATGGATGGACTTTAATTTTCTGGGCTATTTTTATTTCTATCGAGAGTCTACATAGATGGTGATGAATAGGTCATATTTGGCATGGTTAAAAATGGCTTCTAACGACTACTGTTCCTTTGAGTTGGCAAGTTTCTTGCAAAATAACCGCGGTACCTTGTGGGCTACAGGGATACATACAGGGGCCAGGACGGGTACACTGAGCAGATAGGTGCGTGCCTCTTGATGTGAAAAAGGCGTCGCTGGACCTCTTCGACCGCCCATCAAATCGTCCATAGATCCACTTATTTGATCATCGTTTGATCTGCATAGATTATTTATTCCAACAAAGTTAGTAATAGACGTTGAATATTGATAGAATTATTCCACGACTACGGATAAATAGGTAGCAGCCATTATTAGTTCAAACGGTAATAGTAATAATAATAATAATTTCAAAAATGTATTACACAATTTCGAAATAATAAGGAAAATATTAAAATAATTTGCTTTTTCGATATAGGGCAGCCTTTCTCAAAACCTAATAATTGTTCCATTGCGCCTAGTAGTGCGAGCTTTTCGGAGGATTAAACTGGTATTTGTTAATCGTTGCAGAGAGCTGTCGATGGACCTGTGGCACATTTGTAAGACGTATAAAATATTTCCAACTAACATTTACCTGAAAACACTAAAAGCTATACTCTCGGTAGCTAAAACTCCGACCGTGTCTTGTTGTTACCAGCGGCCTCGGCTTGGGAATCGGGACCGTGTGCAGCGGTTCGCTATTTAAAAAATGCTATATGTCTGTAGAACCTATTGAAAACGAACAAAATAGGACAATCAAAAGGTACTGATTTTAATTGGTCCTTCAATAGTAAAAAAATCAACAATATAATTTTATCTTTACAATCAAAACTTGAGCATCGACACTGGTCTGCAGTTAGCTCAACAGTTACATTGAAACAGTTACATTGCACAATAGGAGATCATTGCTAAAGACGACGTCATTTTTGCTAAAATTACAAAAATGTAACAAATTCTCTTCCGACAGATATAAGCGATCGATGTGGTGGTAGCCTGTCTACCTATTAAATTTAAGACGAATCTTAGAATAAAAAAAAGATAGGACTTAAACCACTCCATAAATAGAAACGAAACAATATTCACACAATTATAAACTCATAATACATTGTGTAAATATTTTCCACTTAAAAGATTGAGAAATAGGCTTAAATGATACTTATTAATGACAAACGTACCTCATTATAGGCGAGCTCAGTTGTAAGTACCTCAGCTTGTTTTGAGTGAGGGAAGCCGCTGGTAGTAAGCTGGAGCTTTTGCTTTTTGTTTCATTCAACCAGTGGTCTGTCTACTATTATTTGCGGTTGAATTTGGTCCACTGCCTAGGCTTCGGCAGGCCTCAAAGTATGCAAGAGCGAGGGATGTACTATGTGGTAGTCTAAAAAGGACAGTAAATTAAGATTTAGCTTAGAAACAAACTGCTGACTAAAAACTAATTAATTCGCGAACCGTCATAGGCCAATCTAATGTACATTCGAATTCCCTAAGGTAGATTACAAATGAATTTATGGCAGGTGTATAAGTAGTCCCACAGTACCCAGAGCAAATATCTTACTCGAATTAAATTTGTAATAAAAATCACAGCGATTGATTAAGTTAATTACGTAAGTGGTCTGGGGCCTAAAAACTGCATAGAAGATATCGCGATTGTTTATGACAGAAGAAGAAGAAGAAGTTAGGTATTAGATTATCGTAATTCGTCAAGTGGCTTAGTGGTAAATTTAGCTTAAAGCACTAGCTCGACGTATAATGCCTACGCACGAAGATGCATATCTAAATGAGGGCACGAGAACGGCGCTCCAGCCAATCTCATACAAAGTGGCCCAATTGCATGTAATACGCGCCTACCATTCGGCATCATGAAGGAATATTTTAATCAGATGAATAAATAAATTACTACAGTAATACATTCTTTAATTTACCGTTTACCTTTTTAAGGTCTATAATACATGTCGTACTGATTAAACATTACCCAAATTCAGAAGTTTCTGTCAAAAAAGCGTAGTTTGAGGAGTTTAGAGAAAGAAATTATTCGATCCAAAGGTTAATCATTACGAATCGAGCAACATTAATTCAGGAATCCTTTTCCTGAGCATTGTCGGTAGCCGTAACAGTCCCGTGACATCAGATAAACTCACTAGCGGTTACTCGAAGCATTTCAAAGACAGTGCAGGGCAAACTTGGATGAAAACCAACTCTTCAGACGGCAAGCGATAGCTAAAGATCAGACACGATTTCCCACGTTTTTTCCCGTTGCCCACAAGTGACCACCTAAAAGAAGCGACTTTACTAGGCTAATCTAACCCAGAGAAAATACATAGCATCAAGCCGTTGAGCTTTAGACGCAATCGAGTGACGCTAACATCTGTAACCGTAAAGCGGAGCGGTGAGGGTATTGGTATTACATTAGGGACTACTCCGTGTGTTGAGATTAAAAAAGTTGAGTTGAACGCAATTAAGAATTATTATCCTACAAACATTGCTCTATATGGTACATCAAAAACTAATTAAATGTGATAACGTTGAAAAGATCAACCAATATAAGTTATCAATTTAGCGTAAATGTATAATGATGCTAACGTAACCAAATCAGGCTTAATAAACGTATATATTATTTGTAGGTAAACAGGTCTAGGCAAAAATCCAAGTAAATATCTACAGTAATTGCACATGTGATAGCTCTACACCTATAACTGTGATGATAACCGGACAGTCCCTTGCAGAATATACTTTCCGAAACGCAACTGATAGTCGAATACCTTAATGTTTAAGTTTCAATTTCCTGTTTTTAAAAGTTCCGCCAGTTCAATTGAACTTCGCTAAAACAAATACTTATACGGCGAAACTGGCCTAATAGTGGAAAGTCTCTCTTTACACCAGTTAACTGCGCTTTTAAAAACACGTAAAAACGAATAGGCTTATGCAATTTTGGCTTAACAATTGCCTAAAAATATATTCGAAACGATGTAATGCGTCACCTTACAGAGATCTGAGTTACCTAATACAACTCGAAAAATCATGAAGCCTACGCATTTTGTGTCTATACGACTTAAACTAATTTGAACAGGTTCGCAGTAGGGGAGCTGTATTGTGATCTTTCATACCTATTTTACTCTGAATCAACAATTGGCGTTCGGAACAAAACTCTGTAGTGCCTGACCATGGTGACTGAGCGAAGATTCGATTAGCGTATTACGAACAACTTATCTATACAATGACTAATACTTTGTTTAATTTATCCTGATGTTGTCCATTGCTTACTATTTGTCAACATCACTATACATATGTCAGCGTACCGACGAAGGCTGCATTCATGGCCAACCCCAAACGGTCCATCGGCAGGTATTAGAATGGTGCATCTCTTTCGAAGAGCACGTTCCAATTGTTCAGTAAACGTATTCTGTTTATCGTAATGTCAGTAGAAAAATAAAAAGGCAGGCTTATTGACCATCTGCGTTTCCAAAAATATCTGAAAATGAAGTTGACTGACGTTTTTTCCGTTGTGTTGATTCTTTTGTTAGTATGAGATAGCCGGTGATTACGAATATATTCGGAAAAGAAATTCTACGTGAATATGAGCGACAACACATAAAAATATAAAGTAGTTAAAACAATAACTACAATTCTTTTGTAGTAACTTTTATTAGCCAAACCTTCTGGTAACACCGTGGTAGGACGTCACGGTCGAATTCTGTCAACTCTTTACGTTGTTATTCGCACCCACTATGATGTTAAAATCATTTGACTGTAAACAAATGTAAGGTATTGCCAGCATAAATCAATTGATCAACAATGCGTTAAGCCTATTGTGAGCCGACGTTAGGATTTCTTTTGTGTATGGAGTACTCCTTCATTAAGAACTTCTTTCCTAATAAGTACTGTTTTCATCTTATCGAAGTGCTAACGTAACTCAAACAGCAATAGCTTTTTTCATGGCGGATTCGGCTATGAACTCTTTTTCGGCTATCCCTTCTAGGCTCAGCAGCAGTGCTTCTTCATATCGCTTCAATGACTTCTCAGGATTACACTTAACCTAGAGGACCAAGCATGATAGGACATGTTCATATTTATCGCCTAACGTATATCTCGGACCTTCAAGCCCAGCTTCTTCTGCTTAGTCCTTCAACATTGATCATTCAGAGCCCTATGCCTGAAAGGGCGTCAGCGGGAAAACGTAGAAACGATCTGTGTCTGCAAAGATAGTGCTCGCATTTCAATAAGCCATACACTGTACGATAAGTGTAACTGTATGTAAAAGTACAATTGAATGAGTAAAAATAACGAAATTAAGTAAAAGGCGCCCAATAATATTATATGATCGGCTGGAATGCTGACGCGCTGGCCGGTCTTAATTGTGTAAAATGCTGTACAGAATATTTCGCCACGACAACCTGAAAAGTAGCAGACGAAGCTCCACTGTGTATCTCCGTAAACAATTAAACAGTAAAGATATCAGTAAAAGCATTTCAGTCGTTTTTAACTGGCTCCTTCCAGTCCCCCCAAACAACTGCTATACACAGGATAAGAACTGACTTGTTTTTTTTTTGCATTAAACGTTTATGGAATTATGCTAGAGCTGTGGATGTTTCTATTTAAATTGTTAATTAAACTATTGTTCTTTGCTATATAATAGCTAACCGTTTCTATAAAATGAGGTATTTAAACTTATTTCTAAGAGACAAATGCAGCGTATATATGTATGCAGTATGGGTAGCATTTACGACATCCATATGGTTTTTGTCTTTCGCCTGTAATTCAGCGGATAATTTCTATAATAAGAGTGGCAGATCCGTCAAGTGTTCGCTGTTTCAATGCTAAAAGGCCACTCAATTATGCAAACACTGCTGGGCTAAGAAAAATATACATATAAACCAGGTTATAGGTTAAGACATAATGAACAAATGTATTCAACCACACGATAACGTGCCTGTACAAAAATTTAATTTTAGGTACGCATTAGATGATATGGACGTGAGAGACCGCATTGGTCAACAATGCCTTTTGAGGAACTTGCCTGCTTAATTCGGTCAGGTAGTTGTTAAAAAATATATTGCCATTTATTATGGTAGATTCGATATTTTATTTAATCATAAATTCGGTGTGCTTTCTGTTTATTTTACTAGAGGTCAAGCCCAGTGCCCATTAGAGATTACAATCTGTTTGTCGTCTGTAGAGGTTATTTAAATCTCCTGTATTGTCATCGAGACAATAGAAACTGGCCTTCTATACTTCCGTCGTGCTATAGTCACCAAATAATAAGATAAAGGATCAAATTTACAAACGGAAAAAAGTCTCATCGCGCAGCCTCTACTAAGTTAAGAAGATAGGCAGGTTTTCGAAATTGTTCGCGGTTTACTATAACGAGAATTGATTTTCGCAACGTTTGATCTCGTGTAGGTGAACATCCATATACATACTAACGCTATTGAATTTTGTTTTAGGGCATGTACTATTAGCGAGCAATCTTCTACATAGTTTCAGGTAGACCGAAACTTACATATGATTAATAAGCATGTTCTTTTATTCAGCTATCCCAGCGAAACACCACAAACGAACTGGGATGGCTCTTATAGCTTCGCTAAACTATACGATTTCTATTAGGGGATTTTATGATTGCGTTTGCGCAACTGTTAATTTAGTCACTCTCGTTTACTGACCTTATCAAAAGGAACCCGTTAGCTTATTTCAGCTGCTTTCAGCCACTCCAGACAATACCTGTATCATGCAGAATCTTTATAGCTGTCTTGTGGCGACTATCTATCGGGCACCTTAGCCTTCGTCCCAGTGAAGTCTGCCGTCTAATTATACGAATGGCATTGCAAAATTTATCATCTAGAGCCAGCTTAATGATTGGCAATGGATTTTTGCGAAAAACCAAATGAGCGCCAGTTATTTTTTCGAAGCCCTGAATACTCTCACTTAGATAAAAAAAAATAAACGTATTAAATATGCAAATGAATCATGAGTTAATTTCTCTTACTCCGGTTTTATTCAGTACAACACTGGAAAATCGTTACGTGGCCAAATAGAATATAACTTTACTAGCTTATATCATCAATTGCTGACACGAGGACTTTATGGTTTTTAAATAGGCGATGAAAATATTGCAATTATGACAATGCTCCTAATTACCATTTATTAGGCGCTAGCGATCTAAACACTATAGGTACGGATAGAATTTGGGGATCGACGATTTTAGCAAACAGTTCGACACTCATAGACATTAAAGTCAATCTAAAATTACCCTAACTCCCCAATTGAAATTAAATATTGACTACAGTGCTTTCTGTATCACGTCGCATCGAAAAAAAGGTGACAAAATGGTTAATCGGTTGAGGTGCCTCGGATGGCTAGACTAGCAACCCTGATGTTTTCAGCTAAGGATCTGCTGTCTTAAGGCCGACCACCGAAACGTGCTTGTGTTATATGCGCGACGTACACGCTTTTTCATAACATAAGAATATATAAATATACTTCTTGTTTAATATAAGTTTTTGTTGAAACATGCTACCGAGAGAAGATTATATAAATAAAATCAAAATACGAATGTAAGCGTACAATCAATCTAAAGGACCTATGGCCCAATATTTAGTGATCACCATTACTGATGTTTGAGGTTATAGACAAATTTTAACAGTTTCCTTTTTTTTTTTTATATCAGTATTATATTTATATTAAGATCAGACACAGTGTCGCGGTTTTCATCAGTGTACTACTGGTGCTTTTGGTGGCCGATCGGCTTGAATGTTATGTTTCTTATGCGTAATTTTGTGTTGAAGATGTACATTGCATGAATAGAAAGCTAGTTTAACCCAAGATTTTTGATTATGCGTATAGTCACAAATGGCATAAGTTCACAAGTAGTTGGCGGAAAGCATTAGATACTATCTATACAAACGTGATGATATTACTTTTTTCGTATTAATGCATCCCGCTGAGAAAAGAGCATAAAAATCAAGATAAATAGGGAGAGGAGGAAGGGTATAGGCGGAAAATAAATTTCTTTGTTAAGCACCCTAATCTAACCTAAAAATAATTTACTTGCTACTTTTATGGATAGTGGACATTTTTTTACCAATTATTTAAATAAGTGCTCATATTTTTCTACCTTTTCAACGAACCTATCTTTATTTGCCTACGTTTTTACATAAATTCACGCCAAAATGATCATGTTCTTTTAAATAGTAACAGTGACCAAATGCGCACTATCGATCTCTTCTTAGTAACCATCCACAGGCATCTGCTATAAAAGTGATAAGTCTCTGGGTGGTCTTTCACAGTATATTACGACAATATGTTATCCGGGTACTCACATTGAGTAATTTAAAGAAGTAGCTATCATAAAGACAGCGGTGAAACGTTGCAGACGCGAGGAAAATGCAGGTTTCGTATGTCGAGGAAGGATATTTCCTCCCAAAAATGTTGTAGGTTCTGCAGTTTGAAGATGTCAAAGCTCGGATATGTCAAGTATTTGTTGTAGCTTTTTGTTTGTTTCAGTCCACTGACGTCAATATACCCACCCACACGAAGCTAAACGATCGGCAATTTTTTTATGTCGATCTTCAGTTCTTCTTTCGACAAATTGTAAACAATGGATGTTCTCTAATGCTGAGGTTTTTTCAGGGTAGTACGGTAGGCTTGTCACAGCAGCGGATTTTGTTTGTGTCTCAGTATCTCACGGCCAACAGCAGCAAGAGGCAAAAAGCGATGACCACAAGACGAACTCGACTAGCTAAATTTTACATGAACACATGCTAAATGGAATTACGGTAAGCTATGGCTCCAAAGCAAACGGTTCGCTGACGAAATACCAGCGATACAGGAAACCTATGAATATTAAGCACCAAACTACCGACACATGACGATAAGCCATAAACAATCCGTTCGCTTTCCACAAGTAAACGACAACATTGCATACGCAACACCCGTTTACCTGCTCCGCAGTTGCGCGTCCGACTGCTTCGCCCGAACGCTGACTGGATCGTCCCGCGAGAAAGCTTTCCGTCTGCTTGTTTGTTTATTTGTCCGTCCGTCCGTCCGTCCGTCCGTCCATCAGTCAATATTGTCATTCGCTATTGCAGCAGTCACTGTTTTACTCACTGGTGAACCAGGCATCCTCCACTGTTCAGAAATGTCAATTCGTAGTTTGCCCAAAACGTTGGTCTCACGAATTATTTAATTCATAGCTCAGCTTTTAACCGTGACTACATGAGCACCACTTGCCGATGCATACATCTACCCTCCGCCCGACACATGGAAACACAGTCGCTCATCTACCAAAACGTAGAGCGTGTAGAGCAGGACTGGAGGGGCCGGCAATAGCGTTCCGTCAGATGGAACCGTTTGGCCCTTGCCGCTGCTCCATCATTATGTTTTTTGCTAGCCGTTGCCGGTAATGCCTTTCAGTACCAGCTTGAACAGAGCGGAACGTTTGGTCGTTGTTTAATTCCAAGTCATAGGAAAGAATGGTAACTTTATCCGGAATGGTTTTCTGCCCTCCCTTTTGCTTGCCTGTGTCAGTGGACAGCGAAAAGGAAGAAAGCATCAGAGCGAATGGTAAACGTAGCATGGTGCAGACGTCTATTGAACGTGGCTCGGCAACCACGCTATTGCTAAAGACGTTTCGGTTTCAAGGAGTAGACTAAGCAAATGCTGATTAAATACCATTTACGAATGGTCCCAAAAGGGTTTATCTGTGAAGGGAGCCTTAAAAAATGAAAGGTTATAATTGTAGAGGACGCGTTTGGTAGCTATCGAACTAGATGCGGGTGAAAACAAAATATTTCCTCATGTATAGTTATAATTAGTAGCGGTGGAGCCGGCTGAGTTAATGGGGAAAGCCACAGCGGCTGGCGAAATAAAAATCAATCCATCTCATTAATCAAAATGAATACATAATACAATAATCTACGAGAAAAATAGAGCCGAAATTGGAGAGCTGGTCAAAAGGGCAGGTCGGAATCTATGGGCCGATGATTGAACATCGATTTTGATTCAGCTGGCGGTCAAATTCAAATCTCATATATAGAAGTGCCTTTGCTTAACATGCATATTTATGCCAGTATGTGCTTTAGAGGGGGTACTGAATCGCATGCTTTGCCTTATATTGCCAGATTTGTTCAAGCAACCTTAACTGGATTATTTGCTTTGACGAAATCTACTATCGATCTTACATGCCATACTTCAATTGAACTGTAGATAAGTCACCTAACGCAACATTTAGGATTCTTCTGCGTACCAATTCACTCGGAAAAGCATTGTATTCCGTTCGGTATTTTAGAAAGCTGATGCTTGTACTTCGTGTAAAATGAAGCATCTGATGCATCATCAAACAAACTAACGCCAAATAACATTGTACCGCCGTAATTAAAGCAACACTAAGTAGACATTGTTAAATGTTTAAAAATACACGTACGCTAAGGAGCGATTCGTAACTTCGACTAGAAGTAATTTATATTTCAAAAATCGGATACAGTACTTTCGTAGAATAGAATTGTAATTAGAAGAAAATTCTACAAATTATTCATGTATATATATATATATGTTTTCTTATGATTGTAAGCAACATTTGTGCAGTTGAGTATATCAGTGCATGTGAAAAAAAAGAAGAAGAAGAAGATTAATACTTGGAATTGCGCTTACGGCGCGTAATTATATTATTTAGTAAAAAATTTTCGCATCGATCTTCGCTCACAGGCGTTGCTCTAAATACGATCGTGCAGCATTACAATAATATAACTACTCGTGAACGGTTTTTCTCGAAACAAGCATAAATCGCTGTCCATAAATAATCCCAACTGGCAAATGTTTCCTGCCTTGGTTTACGTACACGGCTACTTGGCACCGGTGCACTATTGGCCAATGTTTTTCTGTATCAATATACGATCTCACTCTCGATGCCTAGCCTTTCGTGACTGACGTTTTTCTTTTCGGCCTGTTACCCATTAGCTGCTTTCTATGTATCCTTACATTCATGACAGCTTACGTATTTTCCTTTTTCCCTCGCACTCATACCATAGGTTACCATTTGATGCTTTATCTTCTGAGTACGGGTGTACATCTTTTGGCAAGGGAAACATCGGTACATCGCGCATTCTTTTTCTTGTTTTCGCCTATTTACGTGCTCGACAAAGTCCTTCATGCTACGAAATTCAGCTCGACATATCGAGCATTTTGGAAAGATGCGTGGCAAGATCTCATGAGTATTTTGATGCCAAATTAATTCTATTTTTGTATTGAACCATTTCCAGCACTGTTTACATTGCAAAAGCCGCTGTTTTTCCTGGTTTTGTTCCTTCTCCATATCATTGCCTTCAGTAGCACTGAACGGTTTATCTTCAACCTCTTCGCCCCTTCTTTTCTCTTCATACAAATCTTCGCAATCGGTTTGTCTTCGTTTGATTGCTGTCGCCTTGAGCCATACCTGCACCTCTTCAGGCATCTGAATGTTTGCTATTTTTTCCTCAATAAATGTGGCTGGTGGAATATAATTCAATGGCCTTTCAGAGGCTGCGGTGGGTGTTGGTGGTTTGCATGCATTGATGGATGCTACATGAATATGGGGGGCAGATGATGTAGAGGGATTGCAGATGACCGCCGAGGCCGATGTACCTGGCTCACAGTCCATTTCTTTATGTTCATCTTGTGCTGTACGGCCGCGCTTACGCCTTCTTACCTTCGGTGACATTTCGCTTGTTACGCGAAGGAGTTACCTGGCTCGTTAGTTCTAGATACGCCTTTTGATAAAATAAGAAATCGGCTTTTTCGGGGAAGAGCAGTTCGACTCGAACGTGGAAGCTGGGTAGAGAATGGGTTAGCGATTATCTGTAAACGTGCAGTAGAAAAGATGATCTCACTCAGCTGTATTCCCTTTAATTCAAATAGCCATATTGTTACTCTTAGGTTTTTTGTTTGAAACATTAGCGTCAACCGTAGAATAGTAATAATACATACTCTAGCTTATTTTCAACGAGCATCAAGTACTACCACTGTCACTAGCTGCTTAGGTCAGATAGCAGTGTATAGCCCTAAAATTTTTCGTAGTAAACGAAGAGAGGTGTCACTGAACCATACCAGTCACTTATATACACAGCCTCTATATACAAGTGGGCCTATATTTAAATGAGCTCTCATCGATTTCACTGACGTTCACTAAAAATACTCTGAAATTTTACATGATCATAAACCTTTATAAAAAATTTATATAAACCTCTCAATAATACTACTGCTTATTCCGAACTGTATTTTTTTTGCTACACTAAAAAGTCGTTAGCACAGAAATTGTGTGAAATAAAAACTATATATACATGTATAGCAGTTTTACCAATCACCGTCTGTAGATAATTACTCGTGAACGTGAAACGTAGCATAGACAATTCAGATATTCTGTTATAAATACACCGTGGTTAGCCGAGAGGCGTTCTTATAAGTTCTCTTAAAGCCGCAATTCAGCTCAGCTGTAAAAATGCATTTACTAAACTGTGAAATTTATATATAATTACATGTAGCTGAATTTTTCACAGTAGTTACACTGTTCTAAGATACGCAGACAAGATTATTACTGTTTATCCCAAGAATACTATTTACGCTGTGTGATCCATAAGCAAATGTATGTGCAAGCACTTATGTGTGAAAAAGACCACACGAACATAAGTGAAGCAAAACTCTACATTAGTGTGGTAAATATCCATGTCAAATAAGTTAAATTGTGTTTAAAAAAAACTTTCTTTCATTAAGAGCCATTCGATACTGTCGTCTTAGTATATCTTGCGAAAATATAAAACACAGTGACCTATCTATCATACATTCTTATGTGTCACGTTAGTTACTGATATATGTTGCATATAGTGTGTCTTGATCAAATATACACGAAAGGCTATTCTTATTGAACGCTACACCGTAACATGGGGTTCGAATAAGTGATATCTCTTTGAATAAAAAAGCTTACCTGTGAGAAATTAAAACTGCCAGAAAAACAAACAGGATTCGGCGTCTGTTTCAATGTTCTATTCACAGCACTAAGTGTTCAAAAGCAGTGCGAGTTGTATTTAGTGATTGATACGTTGTTTTAAGACCATGGGCAAGTAAATTAGCGACCCCCACGCCATGAGGTCGCTTTCGAATATCACATTGTTTTGTTAAGCACCATCGTCATTAGGATCACCTGCAAGTGTAAGCAAACCTGTACGTACGCGGTGTTACCCTTGAGCCAATGGGAGTCACATTAATGTTTCGTCTAAATTCGAGAATTATGTGGTTTTTGTTCTGTAAAAGCCAAGCTAGTCGTTGTTTTAAGCTTGCTAGTTTTTACTAAATTGGACAGTAAAAATGGATTTTGAAACAAACTCTCGTTAAGGTACCTATTGTTTATCCTCGACGTAAGAAATTCGGGATATGCAATTGTGATGATGGCACCCTTTGGGAGTCGTATAATGCCGTAATGAACGAATCGTACGAAGAGCTTACTTTTCCTTTTAAATGATCAAATAGAGATACACATTTATATTAGTACCCGAATAAAACTATTAACATAAATGTACATTGCCATTAATACTACAAAGCTTTGGAACCACTAATGAACTCATAGGGCTTTGAAGAGATAGTTTTTTTTGTATATATTTTCTATGAAGAATATCATGCTTTCATTAGTACCATTAAGTTGTTTCGAATACCATTGAACTCGCGACTAGTAGTACGAGACTAGTAAAGAAAAAGTAGCGCGAATAAATATAGAAAAGCGCTCAATTATTAAGGAATGGTGTTCCTTTTATGAGAAGTCACCTAACTAGGCTGAGAATAGACACCGGTATAAATAATGATGTTTGAAACATCCATAAGAACCTTTTAGACAACCAATCGTTAGAGAAAGTTAACTCATTGAATTAAACATGCGGTTAGGCGTTAGGCATAAAATGGCCCTATATTTAAGTTTTTCCTAAGTTTTACCACCCGGTTTTTTAGATGAATGCACTTGAGTATATGTTTTTTTTTTATGATACAGTTACTTAAGGAACAGGCATACAGACGTTCCCTTAGCTAAAAGCTTTCTTATCATCGACGACAATTTCTTCCTTTCTCCCTGCCCACCGAGCGTTGAAGTGAATTGATTTATGTAAAACTGAAGATACTTACTTGGTTCAGTGTAAATAGATTTTTCACCATAAAATAGAAGTGGTTTCAGTATTTGCCTCCACTTCACAGCTATACACTAGAGCGTTTTTCCTTTGCAAGCGAAAACAAAGTAAGCTCAGAAGCTTAATTGTTTTTCTTTTGCCCTGTTCCACAGATACGAACTCCAGACGAAGTCATGACGTAGAGACAATGCATAATTCGTCACGCGGATAAAAGATACTCGTAGAAGTTCTAGGACGAGTATACGTTTACATTTACAAAGGACGCCAATGTCGGTTTATTTTTGTATGTGTTAGATCAGGGAAACACATGCGGTCGGTTAAAGAGCTGTCCAAAGAGTATCCACATCATAGACATAAACTCACGACTCATCACAGCGATCAGTAACAGTTTACAATCATAAAACCCATATAAAAATGTAGTTACTCCTTAGCCTTTTTACCTAAACGTATTTTTCATTAAATTTATCTCTACTTGAAATAGGCGTTCGGAATTTTGAATCGTTAAATATTGTTTTAGACGACTGGGCTTATCCTGCATGAAACGAAGCGTACCTTGAATCTAGATTACCTCACTAAATGTTCCTAAGTTTAACAGCTAAACACGTTAACAAGCAAAACACATTGCGCCATCACGGGACTATTTCTACTTACCTGGATTAGCCATGGCTCACGACTTCGTCGATACCTTCCCCGTTAATCTTTCCAATACATTTCTACCTGAAGCCACGATTAGATCTTTCGAGGCTTTTGTACCAATGCCTATGAATCATCCTTTTATTTTCGTTCAAGTCCCCGTCTTCGAATACTCAGTAACCTCAAACAGGAACCACTTTACAGTAGACGTTGCGCTTTTGTCTCTGTGCCTCTCTCCTTGACGTTGAGTCTTCTATTGGCACAAACCGCCCGCGCCCTCGCAGCCGCAAGGAACTTCTCTCAAGTCGAGTCAAGTAGAACGCGGTTGCCATTGTGTAATATAGAACTAAGTAGTCGTGTTGGTAGAAGTAGTTATTGTACGAGAGTGGAGCGTGCTCTATTAAAAGTTGTACAATTTGCATATAAATTAGTTGAACAGTGGCCAAACGAATAATGGCAAAAGATAGAAGACGAAAGAAACAGGGTAAGAGTGAAATACAGGAAACAGAAAAGCCGTCCGGTGCCAGGGAGTTGGTTGTCGAAACGCTACATGGCGAGTTGCGCCGCTGGAAGCAGTGAAGTGGGCTGGTCATAGAATGTAAAGAGTGCAACGTAAGCCATTACACTTAAGCGCAAAGAGGAAGTAGACAACAATTTAAGTTGATAGATTCAGCTAAAACCAGCATTTGATTAGATTTAAATAGATAGGACAAACAGCGTCCTCTTTATCGTATGCTCTTTCATCGTGATACAATCACCCAGACTGAAAAATATCGTACCAATCGACCGCCACCTAATTACATACAACAAAATGTTTTTCTGAAACTATGCTGATTCATTTAACTTCGTAATGGTGCTCCCGGTAATTGTGAGATTGGCGATTATAGAAAAAAATAATACCGCCTATTATAATGTGGGAAGGTATATCTTTGTGGGAACTCGGCAAAAGGTAACGTACTCTATTATATAGGGCACGCCATATACATATATATATATATATATATATATATATATATATATATATATATATATACAGTGAATATATATATATTTTTTTTGTTTTCAAATAACTAAGATAAATTCGATCACTTCGATGGAAGTGTGTACATCTCTGTATTCCCAAGCTGCTATCTTGCGCAGGTAAGAATATCGCGTGCTGTCGCTCTCGGTTGCTGCATTGCGTTTGTTTGAATGGTGTAGGGTAAATTTTGCAAAACAAAGAACAGGGTCGCCTTCCAACAAACAGGAAGTTCTCCTCGACGCTCCCCCGTCCAAATGAACAAGGTCGGAGCCATAACACTGGCTTGGTATCAATTCAATAAACAGCCGTCTGCCTCACCGGCGATGGCATTGCAGTGAAGATCAAGTGAGCTTGGTGCCACATAACACAAACATATCGACGGAATGGGATCATTGCCGATTCAGTTTTACCGTCTGCACTGGTTCCCGTATTAATGCCTTCGGTCTGATGCTCTAGGTTCATATGTAACGTATGGTCATGTTGTAGGCGCAGCTCTCGCAGGAGATTTCTGCCATACTGAAGTGTTCATAGCAATGTATTTGCTGTTTGTCTGAATAGGGCCGTCAAGGAGAAACCGGTATTCAAATTTTCCGGATTGGATTCATCTTGCGAGCGGATGTGGCGCCGGAAGTGCTGCTGCGTTCCGTCGTACAACTCGGACAACGTATGCTGTTTACAATGTCGGTTTTTTTATTCGGCCCTTGTACTCTCTTTCATAGTGGGCTGGCTTTGCGATTCTTCGAATCGTGGAACGATACATGGCCGTTAGCTTAGAACGACCTGAGAATATTCTGCTACAGCACCTGTGCTTTTTCGTGATATTTTGTATCGGTGCTGCTTCTCTTGGCCCTCCAGGGAAAAAGATGGCGACATAATCGTCGGCACTGGGTCTTCGGTCGTCTGCAATGCTATGGGCTTAAACTGTACCCAATGACTGTTCTGATTGAGTCACTACTCTCGCAGTATTAGACAGTTATTACCAATCGACGTCTTAAAAAGCGTTACGCTCGCCGTACTACACGCAATCCCCGTGACTACTTAGTGAGTAGCGTATTCGCCTGTTAATCCTGGGGATACGTTGTGGTTTAGAATCCGTACGCACACGCATTTCGTTTTGTGCTGGGGGCCAACCGTCCGATAAAATGGCTAACGGTGATGCCGGACGTAAAACTCGAAACGTAGAGAGGCATAGCAAACGCAAGATTCAGAATCGATTTATTCACCAGTATCTATATGCGAATCTGGTAAGCGATTCGATCAAGACAAAATATAGACATAAGTGATAATAAACACTGAGCTATTAATTGCCAAAGATTATAAATTTTTCAATCGCTCAATTTGTGCTTGTGCGCCGAATACGTAGCGAAATTACTAAGGATAACTAAGTATAAAACGTTCTTTTATTGCTACAATTCCGACGCCGACCGGCCTGCCTCAGGTGGGATCGAGTAGAATGGTGGCTTATTTTTGCAAGCTTTTATAGTGAAAATTAGCCAGATTAGCAACAAAATAATGTGCCAAATGTTTTACTAATATGTAAGAAAAGATTTATTTGGGTTTCGGGAGCGACTATTATAAATCTCACTAAAGTAATACAGTACCATAGTAACGCAGGAGACTCGCCAGTGACATTAATAATAATAATTTTAAAACACTTGTATCATATACCAAACCATATATTTTACGTTATACACATTGAAAGACATAAATAGAAATGTAACGTGACAGATTAAAGAGATACTACTATACTAAGGTATACAAAAATAGATACCACCAGGGTAATTTTTATTTTTCAATACTAAAGTATAGCGGAAAAATGGAATCAGTAATAAACTAGCAACACAAAGCACATGTAGCAGGATTTGAGTCATTTTCGTTTTCAGAGGTATTTCCATATTTACACAAACTGACGTATTCTTGAAACCGTGATCTACAATGTTCATTGTTTAATGGTATATGGAATCTATTCGACTGTCTGCTTCCCGCCACACGTATGTATGGTTAGAGACCTCTTGTCTCTAACCATACCTATGTGTGGCCAAAGAAGTGAGACACGTAAGCCAAAAGATTCAACTCAATTAAAGGCAACAAATTTCAACTAGATTTAGTCACAGCCATCTCCCTCTGATTCGTGCTGGCAAACTCGAGCCCATCTGTGCTATTCAGCAAATGTCGTTCCGCTCTTTAAGCAGTACGCAGACTCAACGTTGGTCCGGTAGAGCCCTGGCAACAGGCAGCTCTGGTTCGCACGTCTTTATTTATTCTCTGTCGGTCGTGCTGCAACCGTGTTGATCTCTGCTCTCCCCGGCGGTCGTCATAGCTATCGCCGCACTGCCGGCCAGCTTCGGCACACCCACTGTTACCCGCTCCGGTAGCGGCTTACCAATTGTCTACGTCCACCTCTTACCCCCCCCCCCTCGTCACCCCATGGCGACGTTCCGCAGTTACTCGCCACTATTTCTGCCCCGGCCGCGCTGCGTCACGCATCTACGTCGGGAATTCGGCATCGCCTCCGGCGTGCCCTCAACACCCAGCGTTTTAGCCTTTAATGATCGGTCGTTATTACTTGTGCGGCTGCTGGTGATGCCTCGAACCGTCATCCATGCCGGTGCATATATAGCATATTCACAGCACGATTTCTTCTTTCGTACTCGAGTCAGTACCGTCCTCGCCGTTGTTGTTCTACCCAACAAGGGAATATAGTCAGCAAACCTTATCACAGACGACGAGTCCCCTATCTTCGGTCCCGTTTTGGCTCACGGGCCTCACGTATCTCTTGGAATGCTTGTGCCCACGAGTGAGGAGCAAGCAGCGCATGTTAGAGCGAACTGTAAGCTTCTGAACACCCCATTTTCTCTCAGCCAGCAGCTCCGCCCTTTCGAGAATGAGCATGCATGGACACGTTTTTGCCTTTACGGCGAACGTTTTCTCGGCCAAATCAACCTGGCACAAGCCTTGCTATGTTCGTTTGTAAGCAACGAGTTAAAAGAGCTCTGGCAGACAATGAATCCGCCGTAGAAGTCGGGAGCGGAAGCTTACGGACAGAATACAGTCCACCTGTCTCTGACTGGCGAAAACTGCCCCGATTGTAAAGCCAGCCACTCTTTTAGAGTGCGTCAGTATCTATGGAAAGAGACCGAGGCGAAAGTGGGCAAAAGGTTGGAAAAGTTCCTCCCGTTTCGTCGGTTTGTTTTGAGATCATGAGAGCCATTTGAACGAAAGACAACATCCGACGCGTCGTCGGCGCAGTTGCTAGCCACTCAACAAAACGAGCGTATCCTTTCTCACGCCCAGAGTTTATACGGCTCGGTCTGCCGCTATTCTTTCTTGAATTCGGTGAAGTGACCGACTTTGCAGCTGGAATTGGCGTAACTGCAAGCTTTCTAAGGTGGACGCAGTATGCTAAGTAATGCTAAGGAAGAAATACCAGTCCCTAACAGGGTCGTATACTAAAACAGTAACAAGGTAGCATATGCTCTTATATTTTGAGCTTCGCTCTTATAAACATTTTACTCTGGTCGTACGGTTGATTTCGTTGGCTAGCTACCTCGATAATTACAAACCCTATATACTACTGAAATAATCTACAGAAATTTTATTTTGATATACCAGCCAGTTATCACCGGTTTTACTTTGTTTGCTTTGTGTTTCTATTTACGATCCGTTAGTCACGGTCTCATGATGGTTGTATATCAGAGTCATACACACTAAATATTTTTATTCGTTTATCAAAGAATACTATTACAAAAAGGCTGCGCGAGGCAACCTTTTTTTGATATTAACGAAAAGCTGGATGTGTCTAGAGCATTCCTAAACTGTCCTAATCTAAGCACGGATCAACTGTCCAACGTCTTGGCGGCAATGAAAAACTTTCTGAAAAACTTGACAAACTTCACCAAGATGACCAGCTCGTTTTATTGCCCAGAATCAATAGTTTACGGCATTGCGGCTGAGCACGCGACGGCGGAAAGTGGATTTTTATACACCAAAAATTACGATGTGGAAACAGCTACAGGACCTCCAGAGGAATTGAAAACGTTTAAACTACGGTTTTGACTTCTCCAGTGTTTCAGCGCACATCTTTGTGTCTAAATCTTGAGTCCTTTGCGAAGACCCCAGGTACAAGAACCTCTGAAAGCAATGATTCTCTTCTTTAGTCTGTACAACTTTTGATTCCATCAAACGGAAAGCAGCACTTTA